GCAGCCGATGGAAGAGTGCCTAAAAATAAATTTCAAATCAGTAATTTATCTCTTGCATATTTGCTGCGATTATTGCAAAATATTAAGATATAATCTATTTTTTTGCTTGTATTTAGAGTTCAATATGGTTATACGAGCTTTTGTTGAAGAATTAATTCAGTAGAAGTCAATTATAAAACGATACGACTCTATAATATTTCTACTTACCCGGAAGGCCTACTAGATGTATAATCACTGAGCCATCTTCAGCAATCTCCATGAAATTGTCTACACCCACGCTCATATTAGGATATATTGTCCATGCATTGGTATTGTTAGCTGGAGTATTCTGTTGCATACTAGGAGATTTTGTCGACAGCTTGGTTTTGCTACTAGATACACCTAATTGCATGCCAGGCCATATAAGATATACTGTGTTCTTGTTAACGGAATACTCAGTTATTGTCTTTCCATTTACAGATTTATAACTAATGAGTATTACTTTGTCACCAGCATTTTTCTGAAGATAATCTTTAATTTCATTAGGCGATAATAAACATGAGCCCAAGGTAGAGTAGAGTGCTCCTGTCTTTGAATTTAATTTCTTTAAGAGATTTTGATCATAATGTATGCCTTGCCAAATTTCTTTTTCTGTATCAGGTAATTTATTAAGTGCACTTCTGAACAATCTAAGAAATTTGAACCATGGCTTCATTGTCAATCGATCGTGAGACTTCCATGCTGCCTCCAAATGATCATACATACATTTATTTTTCCATTTCATTGTGTAAATATAGATAGCAGCTGATTCGTCACGTGTAAGATGATGCTTCGATGGATAGAGACATTCTGTTTTAGCTTTTTTGATATAATTAGCTAATTGATCAATTTGACCATGAAATGGTTGAAGAGCTTCTTCAAGAGATGTCAAGGGTTCATTAAGATAACCAGCAATAAGGTCCAAAGGATTTGTTTGGCTAATGCTAAATTTACAAACTCGTGATAAATTGAAAATGTCTTGCTTTACAGGTGGATTTTTGGTTTGGTTGGATACAATTAGAAGTTCGGGTGCTTTAACTGGACTTTGAGGCCTTATTATTACAGGTTTAGGCGTCATAATAGATGTTTCAATTCTTGGTATTTGAGTTTCAGGTGTTAGAATGGACGTTTCGATTCTAGAGTCTTGATATACAGGTGTTATAACTGGAGTTACGATTGGAGTTTTTAAACTTCCACGTTCACGCTGAGCAGATTCATTAGAAAGATTCGCTATGGGTTTACTGTTACCACTACAGCAACAACCCATCTTTTTTTCCAGAATGTTTTACGATTGATTGTTTACCACGAAACTTCAAAGAACTGTTTATAGATTGATTCTACCTTTTACTCACCCGCTTGCAATATATGATGAGAGAGACGAACACACATCTTTTAATTAAGGTTTGTTTTTTATTGTCAATGAAAGGTTTTATGTGCATACAAATAATGTCAATAAAAAGTCCTGCTTACTACTGCATTTCTCATTTTCGAAGCAAAGCAAAAATGAACAAACTTATGATTAATTAAATCAAGTATGGATTGATGTGACCGAAGAGAAAAAAAAGAGCAAAGAAAAAGAAAATGTTGAAGAAAAAAATAATAAATCAAAAAAGAAACAACGTTGGACGCATTGTTCACTGCTTTTTATTTTGATATCCTGTATTATTTATTAAAGTACACAGGAAAGAGACGCTCTTCTAGCACATGTAGGAAGAAATGAGACTACAATGGTATGATGGCTAAATCATTGATACATATTCACTATCATGAGTGTTCATCATACATTAGTATATTTTTCCATAGGTTAAGTATACTAGAAGTGGATGCAGTTTTCAGGAAATCTTTAGAAAACATATAATCAAGTCGTTTAATACGACCTACGAGACACTATTTCATTTCTAAATATTTCGTAACATTGACAACAACTATTTATCTTTGCTCGTTAGTCAAGTAATTTCACAACGACGCATAAGTAGACACGCATGTTGATGAGACGGACTTGAATTATTTTCGTTTCTTTTTCTACCAAAAAAATAATCAACTTTTTTCAACTTAAACTTCTTTGTTTATTCATTTTTAATGTATTTTTTTTGTTGTTAACATTCTTTCTTCTTTATAATGAAATTATAAAACCAATCCAAAATTATTCTGTCATCGTAAACAGAAAAATAATGATCTTGGAAAGAGAGAATATTTCAAAAGTATACAGTCACTGTGTCAATTCGTTTTGTGTTAAATTATTTAAGATTTTATTTTTCTCCGATACATACAATAAAAAAAATCAACTTACTTTAAGATAGAATGGACAAAAAGAAACTGATCACAAGCAGTAATGTTTTCAGCGGAACAAAATTGAAACAAATGCAGCCACCTACTAAAAATAAACCACCAATGAAACAAATACAATCGACTTATTCTACATCAAGATCGATTAGTGCTGATACAACCTTGCATTCTTCAAAAAGTTCTTTCATGATTGAAAATTATGTTCTCTTCTGGTTGGATACGAACATAAATTTACAAGATGATCATTATAATAATACAATTAAACACTTACAATCAATTGCAAGTAATATTCATGTATTTAATGATGCTGACCAATGTATTAATTTTTTCGACAAAATTAAAAATCAGAAATTATTACTAATAGTATCTGGTAGTGTTGGACAAGAAATTTTGCCACGTATTCATAATGTTCCTAAACTTACAGCAGTTTTCATTTTCTGTCAAAACCAATCCAAATATGAATCGTTAAAAAAAAGTTGGTCCATAGTTCGTGGTGTATTCACAGATATTGTACCTCTATGTGAATCATTACATAAAGTAGCACGTCAATGTGAAGAAGATTCTATAGGTATTAGTTTATTTTCGACAAATGATCTATCTAGTAAAAGTTTAGATCAACTTGATCAATCATTTATGTATACACAATTAATTAAAGAAATTCTTCTTGAACTCGAATACAATGATAAAAGTATTGATGATATAGTTACTTATAGTCGTGATAAATATTCTAATAATCATGAAGAATTGAAAAAAATTGAAATGTTTCATATAGAATACAACACTAAGTCACCCATATGGTGGTATACGTACGAATGTTTCATTTATCATATGCTTAATTGGGGTCTTCGTGAACAAGAATTTGATGTTATTATTCGAATGGCATTTTTTATTTGCGATTTACATCGACACATTGAAAAATTGCATTCGGAACAATCAAAAAGTTTTCAAAAAAAATTTACTGTCTATCGTGGTCAAGGTATGACATCAGAAAATTTTGAAAAATTAAAACAAGCACAAGGTGGATTAATATCATTCAATAATTTTTTATCGACAAGTACAGATCAAAATGCAAGTTTACGATTTACTGAAAAGGCTTTGAGTGAACAAGGATCAGTAGGCATCCTTTTTATAATTGCTGTTGACCCATCAATTTCATCGGCACCATTTGCCAGTATCAATGACATCAGTTATTATCCAGGAGAAGGTGAAATTTTATTTTCAATGCTCACTATTTTTCGTATTGGTGAGATAAAACCAAGTGGTATAAATAATCGACTCTGGTATGTCAATCTAACATCGACTAGCAACAGTGATAAACAGCTTAATGCTTTAATCGAACGGATTCGAATAGAAATTGAAGGACCATCAGCATTATATCGATTAGGTTCATTAATGATAAAACTTGGTGAATTCGATAAAGCTGAAGAAGTATTCAGAACTTTACTGCGTCAACGCACGACTGATGAATTTCAGAAGGGAAATATCTATTATCAACTTGGACAAATTAATGATAATCAACGAAAACCTGATAAAGCACTTAAAAACTATCACGATGCACTCGAAATATATTCAAAGAATCTTCCAGCAGATCATTCTAATATAGCTACTTGTTATAATAACATTGGCCTAGTATATGATAACATAAATGACCATTCAGAGGCACTTAAATTTTATGAAAAAGCATTAGAAATCTACAAGAAAACTCTTCCAGATGATCATCCAAATATAGCATCGTGTTGTAATAGTATAGGCTTAATATATAATACCAAAGGTGATTATTCGAGAGCACTTTCATTTTGCAAAACAGCACTTGAAATTTTCGTTAAAAGCCTTCCATCAACTCATCCATTATTGGCTCTATCATACAATAACCTTGGCTTGGTATATACTAATATGAAAAAATATTCAGATGCAATTGCTTCGTACAAACGTGCAGTTGAAATTGGACAACTTACATTACCTGCCCGTCATCCAAATCTTCAAGTATACAAACAAAATCTAGAATCTGTAATAAAGAGAGGAAAGAAATAAATATTAATAAAAAGATTAGATAAGAGAACTTTTCAAAAATATTTTTTATAATGGATGTGTCAAATGATTTTGTGTTTTGTTTATAATGAAAAGATGTATAAGAAACATAATGAGAATGCTGATGGTGATTTGTTTGAGGTTGAATTACCGAATTCATTATCGAAAAAGTTTCACTCTTTTTGAACTATTAATTTTGAGGTCCTTCAATGTGTGTGATCGTGGGGTAGCTGCAGAGGTGGGTCTGATCGTAGACTTGGCTAAATATGGATGAAGATGTGACCTCCAACCATTGAAGATGCTTTCTGTTTAAATCCTGAATTTGGGTGTGGGTGTGGGTGTCAATGCTGATTAGAATTATTGTTTCACCTACACCTACACTCACACTCATATCCACACTCACACCTACAATCACACCCACAACCACATAGATGGGACTTCGATTAACGACAGAATAAACTCTAACGGAAGAGAAGAACTATTTAAAAGAACATTTCGATAAAAACAGAATGTCTCAAAATGCATTACTTTATTTTAAACTTAAGAAAATTACATGAGAGGCAGCATAGTTTAGAAAAAATAAAGAAAAACTAAGAATATTTGTTTTATTTACGGAAAAGGTATTAATTCTAATGTTCTTCTTCTTTCAGAAAAGGGTGAGCGAATCGTTAGATGAGCGTTACTTGTATGGTAAAACATAGAAGAAATATTCCAATAGCAAAAACATTTTGATCATTTTTCTTCCCATCACTAGTTGTGGTCGGTGGACTAGTTGTGGTCGGTGGACGTGGACGTATACCAATCGTACTATCTTGCGTGATATTTCTTATCCAATGTATGTAGGCCGCCAGACGCGTATGCGTTTTCGAATAATTGGTTACATTATAGCCATACTCATTCGAGATGATTCCTACCTAAATAATAGAACAATCGATCATCTATTGAATTGATTTTTACTTTACCTGTTTCCAATAGTTGTTCTGGAACATGAAAATAGGTCCGCCTATATCATCTACAAATAGCACAACATTGTTTCCTTGGTTTTTTTGTTCAACTTCACTTACCAAGACATGAATCTAAAGAAATAAATATATGTTGATGAGTTGATGAAACGAAATGCTACTTTTTTTACCTCTGTCATTCAATAATTCAGCACAGAATTGATAATTATCATTGGATATCGAACAGGAAGGATGTTGATTGTTGATCGTTCTCATAGGTATTTGTTGGAGAAAATCGAAGAGATGACTTTCTCCTCTCGAGCTTCTCCAGCCGACGACAAGCAACGATGAATCAGTCGGTGGATATTGATTGAATGGCGATTCAACAATAGGAATACAAGATTTGCCTAGTAAAGATTGTGCACTCAATTCGAGCGAGTGCTTCAAATGAAGAATGGCGATATTATGCAAATGTTCATTGACATAGTTCGGATGAATATAAATTCCATCGACTTCACGAACAATGATCGAAGGTTGCGAAAGAACATAAATGCCGACAGCAACTGTGATATTGACCGGATTCCATAGCAACGAAACACATCGAGCAGCAGTCAAAATAAAAGAATCAGATAGAATAGTCCCACTACATGAATGCTTTTCTCCACGAATTCGCACAGAAACTACCATTGACCAACTGTATGGCAAGGCATTATGACTATGCACAATATTGTCCGTCGATAATTGACTATGAAAAGAAACGACTACATTTGTCAACGAACAGCCACATTGACCTGGAATTCGATCACACATGTAGGTCATTGATTGGATCGACTCTGGAGTACTACTTGACACTATTGGAGATTGGGAAGCGATAGTTGTGTTCACAAGTCGTGTACTGTTTGACGTTGTTGGTTGTGAAGTGATGGATATCGTAGTTATGTGCATTGTTGTTTGGTTGGTCGGTTCGACATTGGTTAAAATCGATAGAATCCATTCACGATAGGCAGCTAATCGTGTGTAAATACTGGGTTTACCTGCAAGACTACATCCTTCACTATAACTTGTTATACCTACCTAAAAGAAGAAAACAATATTTTTTTTTAAATTGTTTTCATATCAGCAATTGGAAATTCAATATCTGAGTACGTTTGAAACTTCGAATTGTGTATCTTTTTGTGCTTCAAAAAATGAACATATCGAAGCTACTATTGTCAACTCGAGATACTGATATTCGAATCATCCAATCGGAAACAGCACCGAGATTTTTTCTCTTCTTCTCAACAATTTCTTTGCCCAAAATTGCATTACAGAGTTCTTACTTGTTCCCATCGATTGCCCAGCCATTGTAGAATTGGTCCACCATCATCACCTAATTAAATAAAATTTGTGACAAGAATCGAGAACATTGTTGAATATTTACCTTGACAAGTACCTACAATTAATCGGAGAATAAATAGTATGAAAGAAGCATAAATATAAGTTGAAACTAACCTTTGCCATCTTCGTAGAGTGCAGCACAAAATTGTGTTTCTATGTCTAAAATTGACTTATTACAAATTGGATCAGTATTATCGATTAAAAATATTTGAACTTGATGAAGATTATTCGATGAATTATCATATAAGCTCGAGTTTATATTGCCCCAGCCGATTGCGACTAAACGTGTACCATTGGGTGGATAGTCTTGAACATGTGTAGGCAAGGTAACATTTGGCACACAGGTCTGTTTTATCAACAGATTTATCGTGAAGTCGAATGGTTGTGCTAAATGTAAAATTGCGATATCATTTCGATGTTCACTCGATAACGATGACCAGCCCGGATGAATATAGATCTGATCAACTTCACGAATTACAGGATATGAATAGTATTTATTATGAATACCAGCGGCAATCTGTATTCTAGTTGATGGTTTGTCATCGACACAATGAGCAGCTGTGAGAATATAAGAATCCGAAAGAATCGAACCACCGCAAAAATGATTATTGGTAAAACGATCTCGAATAGAAACCATCATTGACCAGCTGTAGGGTACTGCCTCTTCACCGCCAACAATTCTCGATGAAGTGAACTCAACATCATTATAGCCACACCCACAAGATGAATATTTATCACATCTATATGTCACCGTAGGTCGAGTGTTATTATCGAACACAATCAAATCGATCCAGTTGTTGTAGGATGCCAATCGAGTGAAAACAGTCTGGTAATCAGGAGATCCACAACTGCCTTTCGCGTATGAAACAAGACCCATTTGTTCCCAACGGTTGCCAATCCATCGAAAAATTGGCGCACCAGAATCTCCTAAAATGTATCGTAATGCAAGATAAATTGTAAATGAAAGACAATTACGACTCACGAACCGAAACAAGGACCTAGAATGAATGAACAAGATGATTCAATTATCAACGAAATTTATACAAAAGACAAAAATGTTCACCATTGTTACTATCATTGTTACTACTGTCATAGATTCCAGCGCAGAATTGCATTAGATTGTTATGAATTGTATTGGCACATGTCGACTGATTATGATGAATAGAATAGATTGTCACTTGTTGCAGTTCATCGAGTACGTCGTTTCCATCTGAGAAATGATCCCATCCGGTGACAATTAGAGTGGTACCATTCGATGGATAGTCCATTGCATCTTCTGGTCGTTCTAATCGAGGTGGTCGACACGTTCGTGCAAGATACAAATTCATTCCGAGATCGAGTGGTTCGGAAAGATGTACGATTGCTATGTCATGTATTAGATTATCCGCCATTTCGAGATAGTTCGGATGAATAAAAATCTTATCTACATTTCGAATAATTGGACGTTCATCAGATAGCTGATGAATACCAGCAGCAATTGTAACATTTTCAAGAGATGAATTCTGTAGTCGATTTACACAGTGTGCTGCTGTAAGAATGTACGAATCTGTGATGATAGTCCCACTACAACAATGGTGTATCGAACTACCATTCTGACTGCAATTATATCGAAGAGAAACAATCATCGACCAACTGAATGGTACTGCTTCTTCACCATCAACATAGAGTGGATTTATAACCACATCATGAT